GTCATTTTGAGAGACTTTCCAAGACCTTAGTAAATCATGTGGATTTAACAGGATTTACTGACATCTGAGATGCATGCTGATTATAATTAGATTACACTTTCATTTTTCATACACTTTTCGTTACTTTTTTTTCTGTTACCATATTTTTATGCAAGTGGCATGTCTGTTATTAAGCTGTCAAATAGTTGATTTTCCAAAGAGCTAGAAGTTTAAAGCATCCATGCTTGCTTGCATTTCTGAATTACTATTTTTCAGTCCTAGTGACTTCTCCATTTTGATTTTTGTTTCAGTGTATTCCTGCACTGAAATAAGATCTTTGTTGCAATTTCTTTTGTCTTTGTTTTTTTTTTTTCATGTCTAGCAGATGTGAAAGGAAGAAAAGCTGGAATAAAAAAGTACTTAACATGTATAAAATGTAACCTTTGTTGATAATTATAAATACAAATTTAGAATGCATACATATGTATGGCAATTCCAGTTGCTGTTGAAACACTTGTGACAGTGGAGTCTTTTGAGGGTCTAGCAGGCTGCTGAAAATTATTTGATACCAATATTGGGATTATAATTGGATAATTCTAGGCAATTAGCCTAAGATCTTTAAGTAGCTTGCAAACGTTAAATAGTCTACAGTCTTTATGTGGCCATGATATGTGTCATTGTGAGGTACCTGTAACTGTCTTAGAAATACGAATACTTGCATGTTATGGATACTGGTAAACCAGTAAGAAAGCAGTGAGTTGACTTGAGAGTGCTAATTTGCAATAAATGGTTCCAGTCATTCGGCGCTACTGCATCCTGAGGTTAAGATGACTAGTAAGATGAAAATTTTGGCATATCAGTGGTGTCCTGCTGGAATCATTGTTTCAGATTATGGTTCAAGTAGGAGATTTCAAAGACCTTACAATGCTGAGAATAAAATGAGCTCATTGCACTGTAATTTGAATCCATGGCTCTTGAACATTTTTGTTGTGGCCCCAAGGCACTTGCTGTATCTCCCCAGCTGCTGGCTCACTGTGACTTCCATTGGAGCCCATCAGTGGTGTGGTTGAACCCTTCTGACTGGCTACTAATCAATATTACAAGCAACTGAAGTGGCATCGGTCTTTGAGGTGCTGCCTCTTGCCTTCTGCTAGAAGGAAAAAAGTTGAGTAAAACTGGATAAGAATTTGCATACATGTCAAATACAGGCCATGGTCTACAAGACCACACAGATAAAGGTAGATTTTACAGTCACTTTTTCAATCTCACAGGAAAAACCTCGGGGTAGGAAACTGAATACAAATTTTGCCAGTAAATATCACTGTGTATTTCTTCTCCTTTCTTTTGGCCACCCATGTATGCCAATCCTTCTTTCTAAAATACAGCTCCAAGAAAAACTGACTTTTGAAGACTCTTGGTGTGGTTTGGAAAGACAGCTTTGTTTTCCCAGTGAAGTAGTGTTTGGACTCTGATGTCTTTAAGCAGTGTGCAGCTCTGTGTTTTATTTAAGAGTGTTGTGTGAGCTGTTAAATCTGAGAGGCCCAGTGGCAATGTGGACATGGACACTCATTCCTGGGAGCAAGTTTTACTTGTAGGCGTTCATAGATTCATAGAGTTTGAGGCAGAAGGGACAGAAAGATCACATGGCTTGACCTGTAAGTCACGAATCACCACATCATCTTTTTTTTCAATTCAGTGACTTCTACCTAACTTGAGCACATCTTCTATAGTAATACCCAGTCTTGTTCAAAGACAAGATGTACAGAATCAGCTGCTGTCCTTGTTAGCTTCCTCCAGAGGCTAACCACTGTTACTATTAAAAATGTCTGTCGTATTTATACTTTGAATTTGCCTGGCTTCAGATTCCAGTCATTGTTTTTTGTTATGTCTTTCTCTAGTTGGTTGAAAATATGTGGCATTTTTCTTCCTGTGTAGATACTTGTACATGTTAATCAAATCCACTTTTTGTTCCTTCTGTTAATAAGCTAGACAGATTGATCTCCAAGTTCCACCATAAGGCATTTTCTCCTGCCCTTAAATAACTTACGTGGTTCTTTCCTGCACCGTTTCCAGTGCTTTAATGTGCTTTGAAAAATACACCCAGAATTAAACAGTATTTTAGCATCTATCTGACTATGTTTGCATACAGGGAAAATTGCCCTCCACTCTCCTTGCCCCATTTCTTACTACTTATCCATCTACATACACAAGAATTACATTAATTCATTTTGCCCCAGCAGCATGCTGAGACCTAAGGTCCAGTCTGACCCTTTAATCCTTTTCAGCAGCTCCTTTTAGGGAAAAAGTTGCTTTGGTCCTAGTGTTTAACTGTGTGTTGAGTTGTGTCAGTCTGTTTTTTGTTCACATGCACCTAGTTTACTAAGCAGTCCAGACTGCTCTTGTATGACCTTATTGTCCTCACTGTTTTTCATGTCTCCAGGCTTTGTGTCACTTGCAGATTGCACTGGCAATTTATATGTATTTCAGATGACTGATGAAAATTTCAGTGGCCTCAGGCCCAATGTCAGTTCTTACAGACTTGACTTTCCATAGAATCAGAGAATGGCTGAGCTTGGAAGGGATCCCTGGAGATCATCCTGTCCAACCCCCTTGCTCAAGCAGGCTCAGCTAGAGCAGGTTGCACAGGATCATCTCCAGATGGCTTTTCAATATCTCCAAGGATGGAAACTCCACCACCTCCCTGGGCGGCTTGTGCCAGTGCTCAGTCACTCTCACAGTGAAACAGGGAATCTTCCACATGTTCAGAGGGAACCTCCTCTGTTCCAATCTGCGCCCATCGCATCTGGTCCTGTCACTGGGCATCAGTGAGAAGAGCCTGGCTCCATTATGTTCACATCTTCCCTTCAGGTATTTGTACATATTGATGAGACCCTCTCTGAGCCTTCTCTTCTCCAGGCTAAACAGTCCCAGCTCTCTCCACCTTTCCTCATAGGAGAGGTGCTCCAGTCCCTTCATCATCTTCATGGCTCATGGCTCTTTGCTGGATGCTCTCCAGTCTGTCCATATCTCTCTTGTACTGAGGAGCCCAGAACCTGACACAGTACTCCAGGGGTGGCCTCACCAGTGCTGAGCAGGGGGGAAGGATCACCTCCCTTGAGAGGTATCTTTATACACATTTTCATTTGACACAGGGAACAACTTATAAATTCTCTGAGCAGTCACTTTGTAGTTGATTTAAAGTATAGATGGCTTTTCAATATCTCCAAGGATGGAAACTCCACCACCTCCCTGGGCGGCTTGTGCCAGTGCTCAGTCACTCTCACAGTGAAACAGGGAATCTTCCACATGTTCAGAGGGAACCTCCTCTGTTCCAATCTGCGCCCATCGCATCTGGTCCTGTCACTGGGCATCAGTGAGAAGAGCCTGGCTCCATTATGTTCACATCTTCCCTTCAGGTATTTGTACATATTGATGAGACCCTCTCTGAGCCTTCTCTTCTCCAGGCTAAACAGTCCCAGCTCTCTCCACCTTTCCTCATAGGAGAGGTGCTCCAGTCCCTTCATCATCTTCATGGCTCATGGCTCTTTGCTGGATGCTCTCCAGTCTGTCCATATCTCTCTTGTACTGAGGAGCCCAGAACCTGACACAGTACTCCAGGGGTGGCCTCACCAGTGCTGAGCAGGGGGGAAGGATCACCTCCCTTGAGAGGTATCTTTATACACATTTTCATTTGACACAGGGAACAACTTATAAATTCTCTGAGCAGTCACTTTGTAGTTGATTTAAAGTATTTTTGCTTATTTTTCTTACCATATACCATTGTCATTCCCTGCATTTCACCAATGTAAGAAACTCATGTCTGCTGTTCACAAAGTATTTAGACTCATCTTACAATGCTCTCTTTTCTCTTGAATTTTCCTTAAAATATATGTTTATTGTGAAAGAATTGTGAAATTATTGTGAAAGCCAACAAATTACATTTGTACTTGTTTATCTATTTGTTTAGCTATTAATTTAGCTACTTTTTGATGAATTCATGCTTTCGGGATGCATTGTACTGTAATAATAACTACTGTTAAGCTTCATGCTAGGAAATGTACATGGTTAAATATGTGCATTTAGAATTCATGTTTAATATTTGGTCCTTAGTTGTGTGTCTTTTAGCTTGGTGCTCTATACTTACGGCCTGCAGTTATACTTTTGTAGGAGTAGAATAGGATTTGGAAAAAAAAATCCAATGTATACAAAAACCTGCAGAAACTGTTAATGTGATGCTTAAGATGCTACATTTTAAACACATAGCAAGAAATGGAAATCTAATGTCATTGTAGAATGAATTGGATCCAGTTTTGTATCTACAGGGGGTTTTTTTTGCTAGTTAAAGCATTATTTGACTTGTGAATTTTCATGATTATGTACTCCAGTGCTCTATTCTACTTGTAAGGATGCTGTAGGGTGCAAGTAGGATCCTTTTGCATTTATCTAGCTTAATTTATCATGGTCACGTAGGACTTCGAAGATGAAAGAAATTACACACAGAATCTACTCCTTAACTGTCAATAGTGATTAACATTTTAGGTATGTCTAGATTTTTAATTGATAAAAATTAATAATTTTTTTTTCTCAGCACTTGATAGAACTAACATTCTTTTTCAAATTCTTTATGACTCTAAACTTGCAGTCAGTGATTGTATACTGGTTCTTCAAATTCTTTTAAATAGTTGCAGCTGAATAAAATATCTTTTCTTGCTGTGTGTCCTAAACCAATAGATAGTATTGCTAACTCGTTGTGCAATTATTGCAGACTGCTGTTTTGCGTCAGTTATCCCCCATATGTCCGTGAAGTTCTCTGTAGAGAGCAAAAGAGGGAAATGTAGCTTAACTTCTCTTTTGCCTTCATATGCTTACGTTTGCCTAACTGAAAGTCAGGTGTAAATTGGCCATTAAGAAGATTTTGTTTAGGATGTGAAAAAAAAAAAAAAGAGTAAAGAGAAGCTAAGACAGATGTGCAGACTTGTTCAGAAGTCTACTATAATATTTCTTTTAATTTTTCTCTCTAGACTCCCTCTGGCCAAAGATTCGTGTTCCCCTGAAAGTTGTTAGGACTGCGGAAAACAAACTTAGTAACCGCTTCTTCCCCTATGATGAGATTGAAACAGAAGCAGTGTTGGCTATTGATGATGATATCATTATGCTAACCTCAGATGAACTCCAGTTCGGCTATGAGGTAAGAGAATTATTTTTTTCCTGTCTCTTAGGCTGTCCACTTCAACATTGCATGTGTACGTAAAGTGGAGGAATCACTGCTGATTCAGACTGTTGTATCTCTCTTTACCATTAACAGTTCAATGCTAACTGAATAGTCATTACTTATGGAAAAAACTGCCCGCTAACAGAAAACTTTTTGGTAATTGGCACAGTAATGCCAAGAGACTCCAAGAAAATGTTGTGTAATTGGTGTAATGGAAGCAGTCTGGAGACTCTGAATTGCATTCTTCCTAATGGTTTCAAACAGTTTTCAGACAAATCAGAAGTGCTATCCGAGTTAATGTGCCTTGATGGACAAGACAAGTTTCAGAGATTAAGTGCTGGGAACAGAGGAGGCCTCTTGAGGACATGCCAAAGTAAGGTGGAGTGCAATGAAACGGGGAACTGAAGAATGTCAAGGAGGGGATGCATATATTGTATGCTTGAAATGGCAAAGCTTCAACAGCTGCTGTTGTAATGAGGGTATCAACAAAAAGAAAGTTTGTCCAAATCAGTTACCCAGGGCAGTACAAGGAGGTGAAAGTCTTCAAAGACATTTGAGTTGTTTGTTAAAAAGTTCACTTACAGCAACACTGTCGTCTTCCTTCCAGAAGTTTGGTTTCAATGAGTTAATTTTTGTTTTCCATTTGTATTTGAGTATATGACACAGTCCATCATTTGACATTACTGTTATATGTGTGTATTTAAGACAAACATGCTGTATTTGTAAATAAATCAGAAACATTAGAAAATGTAATATCATATTTTAAAAAAGGTTTGAATCATTTAGTCACACTTATACCTGCAATATCAAGAGCAAAACAACACTAGGCTTCATACATGAGAGCTAGAACACAAAACTATTACCTAAATTGAGAGAAATTATGAAAACCACTTTTCTGAAGGGTAGAAAACAAACAAAATGTGATAGTTGTCTCATTTCTAACAATCTTGAGAGTAGCTGTTAACAAAAGATGCTATTTTTTGAGATGTTGAAAGTATTTCTTTATCGTGAATACGTGTATGGTAAAATATGGCTCTTTCTCCCTCTCAAGTGAAAGAGACTGTTAGCTAGTAATGAGCTTTTGGACTCAAGAAATGACTTGTGGTAATGTAGGTATGCTGATGTAATAACAAAGATGTTAAGTAGTGGAGACAGAGGTTTAATCTATCATGTATGTCTCCAGAAAGGAAATACTTCCCTTGCCAGGTTAAGTGTAACGGGCTAGTACATGAAGTGTGAGAGATGGAATGAAGAGAAGACAACTGAAGGAAGGGGGTTTTTGGCCACATATGCCTTCTCTATACTCTGTTGTCTACACTGAATGTTTTAAACACTGCACTGCAACGGCAGGGCAATCAAGTGTTGGCAGTTCTGGAAGCTGACTTACTTTTGCCTGTGTTGGTGCTATAACTACTAGTTCTGAGGGTGAGCTGATGGGATGAAAGATAGCAAATCCATAACATGCATGGTGTGTAAATCCTGGCTCCATTTGCAGTTTGATTTTAATTTTCATTGAGCTGTCTCAAAGTAAATAAAAATAAGTTATATAAAAACCTAAGTGACCTTGTAAGTAGTTCCAAGTGAGTCTCTGCTACTGGCAAAGCAGGCTTGGAGGGCTTTAAAGCAAAGATTCAAACTGCAGCTGAGTTTCAGCTGTGTCAGCCAGAAGTTTTGAGAAGCAGAACTGTGGCACTCAGGTGTCTGAAGCATTAATTTAAACATCCTCAGTGGAGAATATCTGTAACTTCACCACTTAGGCAGGAAAGGGTTATCCTCATAAAAAAAAAAATGAGGCAAAGAAAAGTTGATGTGAATTCCTCTATAGTCAGTGTGTTTAGGTGACAGTTGGGACTTACAACTCTTCATCCCCAGGTCTAGCTCTTGGACTGTGCTGGCTAATTTATTGGCCTTCTGTGGACCATAGGCATTGTTTGAAGGGACTATCTGAGTAACAGTCCTAATATTCAGTGTGTGAATGTAACTGGACATGAGATTGTTTAGTCTGGCAGACTAAAAACTATTGCTTTTGCAGTTTTTTGCATTTTATTATAAATACTATTACTTTTTTATTCTGGGAATTCAACTTACTACACAGCCACATTGATGGAAAATTAAAATACCTTATTGAGCAGTTAGCTGAGACAAACCCGTGGGTAGTTTGAATCCTTCTATTCTGAGCTTCTCCCCCTCGCCCCCTGTAAAATAAATGCATAGAAGTGTCTTTGAATACAGAAGCACAGTGGATTATTTTATAAATGCACAATTTTCCTCGTATAGAGGGTGGGTGATGTAGTTCCTACTCTCTGGCACAGAAATCAGGGGCTGAAGATTGATCTTTCCTTTCCCTGAGTGTCTGTGACTTGCTTGACAGGCCTGAGCTGGCTCCCAGATGTTTAAATTGTCCTCAGCCTGTGATAATTTATTTATCTGTTTATGTGTGTTACCAGAAAAGTATCTCTCAAGCTCTTGACTCATTTGCAGGGGGATCCAGAGGGAACAGTAGCAGCATATAATGTTACTAGAAAGTTTTCTTTTAAAAGTATGTCTGCTTCTGCTTTGGTCATAAGAAGGGCTGGAAACGTGACATTTAGTAATTTTCTTTTCTCCTCCTGACATCCTTGAGACTTTACATTTGAACATGTGGCAAAACCCCCTCTGTCACAGACTTGTCTGAATGTATAGAGCAAGCCTAAAAAAAAAACAGAAAACTTTGATCTCTGTACACTTTCAGCCATAAAAAATTATAGTAACACTCAAAGTGTCAGGCATTTTTTACTTGTTAAAAGTGAACCATTATGGTACAGTGATTTATGACATTGCATAAATCTATTGGAGCAAGCAGAAAAATAGTCCCTATGTGCTGCTGTATTAAGGTAGCAGAAGAATACTTATGACATTCTGACTTTGAAAAAAGTATTTCTGTTAAGTTGCATGATGAAATCACATGTGTGACTCGGGGCACTGGAAAAAAAACTGTTAGGGATAGACAACTTTTTTCCCCACTTACTCCCTTTGTGAACAACAAAGATTGGTATCAGAGACACCCAAGGAAAGGAGCAAGTATTTAGATTATCAAAATCTTAAAAAAATTAAAGCAGAACCGTTGGCTGCTCCTGAAGTGCTTGGTGTTTGAATGTGGGACTGAAAGCACGCCTGGTAGTGTTTCCACCTCTGTGTCTCAGCTGGCCTCAGGACAGATGGCTTAGAATTTCTATCATCTGGAAAAGTGGGCTTAACAGTTTCCAAGTATGAAATTCATGAAGATTTCTTATTAGGTACTTACACAACACTTTATCCTTACAAAGTATTTTTATTGCAGTAATAATAGGAATAATCTAAATTTGGATTATTGCTCGGAGTGCATGTTTTTTGTTCATAGAAAATATTTTTTGGTGCATCGCTAAGTTTGTGTTTTTTGCAGTTGGAAGCTTTTTGCCTACTGCTAGTAAACGATCTTACTCTGTGTCAGAGCTGTGTTTCAGTGCTTCACATCTCTGGAATTCTTTAAAAAAAATCAACTCTCTGATGAATTGCATGTTTTACTAGGCTAAAATCACCATAAAGCCTTTGAAAGCCCTCTTTAGAAGAATTCTTCCATACCCATTTTGACTGTTAAAAATGTATTTTTCAGGATTCTGTTCTAGAAGGAATAATGTAACTCTGTTTACCAGAAGACTTCTCCATGAGTAACAGCTGGCCACATTCAAAGCTCTTCTTCAAATTGAAGTTATTTTACAAATTGTGTGCATGTGAAGCATCGCTTATCTTTTAATGGGCTTTCTGTTTACATTTTGCTTTGTTTTTTAATAATAGCACAAGCCATCTCTTTAAGGACCAGGGGAGAATTAAAAGTGGATGGACCTCTGGGAGGAGAGCAGGAATACTGATTGATTGGGTTTTCTTTCATTCGCAGACGATAGTCAGTGTTTCATTCTTACAGTGTTGCCATGGTAGCTTTGGAAATACTGATTATTTTTCTGTTTATTAAATTCAAAAATTTTCTAGTTGTAAGTAGCCAGTTCCTGAAGTTGCATGTGACTTAAATTTATTAGACTACATTAATGCATAAATGTTTGAATATATTCTGGAAAAGGAGGTGCTTCTCTGTCCTCTGGCTGCATGGAGAATGAGCTGTGGCAGCTGTTCTGATGGCACAGCAAAACAGCACAGAATATTTGAGGCTAGGAGGCAGGAGAGCTGTGGAGAGGTGAGTCTCTGGAGGGTGTTTTAGCTAGGCTGTTTTTGTCACTTGGGGAACTCGGCTTGGAAACAAAATTACTATCATTTTCTCTTGGTGTCTTGTAAAAGATTTTTAGTAAAACTACCACGTCAACTTCTATTTGACTTTTCATCTGGGAGATGCTTTGTCCAAAAATATTTATCTTCAGAGTTGTCTAGCAGAGTCATTGGAATAGTGTTGTCTGCAAAGAAGCGTACCTCCTCTTCACTTGGCAATACGCTTTTCCTTGAATGTGTCCCTTACCAGTATTAAATCAGGCTATCCTTCTTTAGTCTGAGAAACCTAATAAGATCACTGGCTAAAATGGAATGTATTCCTAACAGACTAATAAATTATAGGCAACCATCAAATAAGAAAATGGACAGTAGTAAAAAATAGAGATATAGAATATATTCTATACTATAGAATAGTATAAGAATTGTTACCACTATTTTTGTTCTGAAAGCTTCCTTATAAGTAGTAGCTGTATATATACATTTTGGCACAAAACATATGTATGGATTTGGGCAATCAGCTGGATGCAGCTATTTGGAGCCTTTCCAGTAATTACCATTGAATGAGCTAGTAATGAACATTATGAAAAAGCCAAGATTTTCCACTGACTTTGATAGCAATACTTTTAAAAGGAATCTTTGTTTAAAGCAACCAAGTTGTTTTTTAGATGCATCAAACTGACAATTTTCAGGGGCCAGAGTCATGGCAGGGTTGAGCTTTACAGTTGATACAAATAAATCTGTATGGGTAACACGCGTTATAGTTAGTTTTTATTTTATGTCATTTGGACTCTTGAAGATGACACCAAGGGCAAAAACTAGAAGACACATGAATCTACGGTTCTGTGTTGTGAAGGCACTGAAGTCCCTTGGGAAGCAGTAGCTGAATTTAATCTTTCCTTCAGCTGCCTTTAATGCACATGCAATTCTCTGTACAAGAATTCTTAGCCCAGTACGGTGCAGATCTGTAGTGTTCTGTCAAATCCTTTGTTGAGCCTCAGTAGCTTATGTGGTAGTGCCTTCCAACAGCTAGGAGATGGACATTTTAATAGTCAGGTTTTAAAAAAATATTAAATTGTCAATTAAATAATCAATTTTTTGAGTCCTGGAGAGCGAGGAATAAAGTTTTGGAAGAAGGAGTGGTAATACCTTTGGCCATTCTTTATTAATGTTTTTGACTTCATGTCAAAATAGGTATCTCAAGCCTTCACTGGCTTGCCTGCCAAAAACCTGTACTTTTTTAATTACCTGATGGCACCAACTTGTAACAACATCCTATGAATTCTCTTCTTTGAGTTCCAAGTCATCCCTGTTTTCAAGAGCCCTCTGTTAGAGCATTGTCCTGTCTAAATACTATCCCAGCACTTGTGCCCTAGAACTGTCTAGAAAGATTGATTTTTGGATAAAGTACAAGTCGGGGAGTCAGAAGATCTGGTTCCCATTCTTGTTTCCTGTATGATTTTTGGCAGGTTTCTCATCTGTACGTTTGAAATAATAACTGCTCTCATCATGGGATTCTGAAGCTATATTAACTGACAGCAATAAAATGTGTTGAGATGTATAGATGAAAAGGTATATAGTAATGCAGAATCACAGAAATGTGGATACAGAAGCAGTGACTTAAAGCTGATTATTTTATCATATTTACTTTGACAAAATACTTGCATGGACTCTTTATAGTCCAGGCCTCCCAACTGAAACATACTGGCACGTAAAAAGTGCCCAAAGTGAACTGCTGACGAGGTGAGGTTTGCAGGATGGTGGAATTCCAGATAATACTTTCTTTACTGGACATTCAGCTGTAGGGTTCCCTTGCCTTTTGTGCACAGAAAAGAGGTTCGCTAGTGAAGTGACCATTGGGGATTTATGAGATATTTTGTTGTTGGTGGTGGTGGTGATCTTGCGTACACAGTGAAATTTGGAGGGAGGGGGAGGTATTTATATACTACCAGACTGAAACAGAAACTCTTATGACCTAACACTGTGCATCAGAGAGTCAAGATTCATATTCTTCCAACTAACCTAGCAGTTACTTGGATTAAATAACAAAGTTTGAGTCATTTGCAAATAATGCAGATAAATATTGGCTTTATTATTGATCAGCAAAATACAAACTGTGTATTTAGCAAGCAAATAGCGTTCGGACCCTTCTAAATAATTATAATCCTTTCTTCCTTTTTTCCTAACGCAAAAGTTGTCCATTATTTAATGTGGCCAGCAGCGTGGAGAACTGGGGTTGCGTTAATGATGCCCTTCTCCGTGTTCTTGTCTACTGTGTTTGATCCTGTAGTCAGCTACAAAATAATGTATGGAGTGACAAGGATGGTATCTTGATTACATCCAGCTGTCTGGAACAAGTCAAGGGCAAAGAGGCCTTCCATATAGCAGTAGATCCATCCAAGCACCCACTAAAGAATACCAGAAATATTAGAATATAAGCCTGTTTTAAGCCTGTTCCTATCCAAGGAAGCAGGTTGGTTAGATCCAAAGCCAGCTGTGAAAGTAGTTAGGTTGTAGCCATATCTACCAAAGTGAACATCAGAAGTTCCATTTTAATCATGCTTGGTTTTAGTTAGTGTTAAAATCTTTTTGAATAGTGGGTTGTATTTCTCTACAACAAGGAAGTTAGTACTGCTTTAGTGGCCTTTTGCTCTGGGAGCACAGCTTCCCTGACTTGTAGGGTCCTCCCAAAGCAAGCTTAGCCTTTCTCGTACTTCTTCCAGGCAGCTTCCTATTCCAAGAACGGGGACTTAAAAGAATTGAAGCGGTCTTTGCACCACTGGAACTCTACCCTCCCAAAGCAGATGTGTTGCATCCGCATATTTACGTTTGCTTGCTCTGCAGGCCTGGTTAGCAGTGTGTCACATCTCTTTCTCTTCAGGTTTGGCGTGAGTTCCCTGACAGGTTGGTTGGATATCCAGGCCGCCTGCATCTTTGGGACCATGAGATGAACAAATGGAAATATGAATCAGAATGGACCAATGAAGTCTCAATGGTGCTCACTGGGGCAGCATTTTATCACAAGGTAATATTTGACTTGTAATATACTGGTAGTGTACAACATGAACCTTTTTTGAAGAGGTGTATGTGTTTCTGTCACTGTTCTGTGAGTGTTTTGTGGTGCCACAATTGTGTTTTCTACAACAGAGCACCAATTGCAAACTTTCCCTAAGCCTCTTTCACTTGCTGTCTCTGTCTGTAAAATAAAACCATTACCTCCATGAACTTGACAGAACTCTTGCCAGTTTGCATGACCTGTAACTACATAGCAAATTTTGCAGTGAACGTAGCTTTGTAGCTAGCAGCTTAAGAATAGAAAACCAATTGTAAAGAAATTTTTGTGCTGGTCAGGAAAGGAGTAATTATGCAAGTAAGCACCCAAAAAAGATTTTCTATCTGCTAACGTAGTAGTTGGTTGAAGGCAGTATCCCAGTTTGCCCATAATCCATCTTTAGCTGCCTGCTGTTCAGTGACTGAAATATTTAGAGTTTTAGAGCTACTGCACGTGTACTTAAAATTATCTTCTCTCTCTCCCCCCTTCTCCCTCTATCCTGCAGTATTTCAACTATCTTTACACCTACAAAATGCCTGGAGACATCAAGAATTGGGTGGATGCTCATATGAATTGTGAAGATATTGCCATGAATTTTCTAGTGGCAAATGTCACTGGCAAATCAGTCATTAAGGTGGGACTTTTCTGCAGTTTAGTTTTACAAAATTAAAAAACATCCTGTACATACTCATATAAATTTATTTATTAGGCTTTAATTTATTACTTAATCTTCCTTTTTCTCTCATTTACTTCTGGTATGGTGTCTTGTTCTCCTTCCATGATAGAAAAGCCCTTTTAGTAAAACTTTTTTGCTAACTGGGAACAGAGAATTGTTTTTTAACAGCTTTTTCTGGTGGTTATTTTAGCCACCTAGATGAGGTATGAAAAAGGTAATTTAAATGATAGCTATATATATATGTGTGGATATATACACACCCCACATACATATATTTTAACTATTTGAGATCACTAGAGGAAAGAAATTGCCAACTGTCCACAGCTCGCTCTGTCATGGCCTGGCAACAGCTGATTTATAGGAATGTTAATTGCAAGAATGTTAATTGCAAGATCAGCTTTAAATGAACTTTTTATCCCTGAATTAATTTCCTGACATGTTTCGACACGTTTTCAGGTCTGGACATTCACTCTGTACATTCATTTCAAAGTGTGTCAACTTGGAATGAGATTTAGAGGCCACCAGGCGTTACTTCAATTAGCAGGGTCCATTTTCCCATCTGTCCATCATCATTTACTGGGACTGGTGGCTGCATTTCCTAGAAAAGTCTTTAGAAGATAAAGTGTGTGTTTTTGCTGAAAAAGTTTTTGAGCTGTATGAGGGCACAGCAGAGTAATTTGGCACCTCTGTGCGATTTGGAGAGCCTTGCAGAGTTTGCCAGTCAGCTATTAACTGGAGTGAGCAAAAGAGCGTCTGTTGGATTAACGTTACGGTGAAGTATGGGAAGCTATATTTCATCGCTGTTATGGCTGCAAGAACAAATGGTGTTTATACAGGGACCTTGGCAGTGAGAAAACAGTCATTAAACAGGAATTAAGGAGCTTGTCATCGCCACTTCTTTTCAGTTACAGAAGGAAAAACCCCTCCAAGCCGTTTTTATTGGGCCCCTGTGAATTTTGCAGTCAGCCAGGCCAGATGGAGCTGAATGGAGGAACGGAGTGGCTTTTTTGTTGTTGTTGTTGCCCCCCCCCGCCCCTTTTAGAGACAGCTCAGCTTACACTGCAGGCATGTTCAGAGGTATTGCACTGCTCTCTGTGCAAGGAGATTAATGTCCCTTCTGTTGATACTTGATGATATCTGGCATGCCTTTCTGCAGGTGACCCCACGAAAGAAGTTCAAATGTCCAGAATGCACGGCAATTGATGGGTTATCGCTGGACCAGACACACATGGTGGAAAGGTGAGCGACCACCCTTTATTCCTCTGATTGCCTTGTTCTGATCCTTAGAATCTTATCCTGTGTCTCATTAAATTAAGATCAAAAATGCTAACTGATAGTATTTCTGTAAATTACTAATTTTGAAAGAATGTTTCATGGATTTGATCAGCGTAAGCCATTCCTACAATGGATGATGTGACACTGAAAAGTGGACTACTACACACAAGGACTCTAGAAGAGCACAATTTTTAGCAGCTTCGCTGTAAAGCGTATAGGACACATATGAAATTCGGGTTGTTGGAAGTACTTTCAGTAATATGACATTTCGTTTTGCCATGGAACATCAACTGTAATGAGTATGAGAATTTTTTTTTAAACCAGACAGTTGCTAGCTTACCAAAGAGTAACAAGGATATAAATTATTAACAATGTTATTTGAATTGATGTTTGTGCATTCTTTCCTACAAAGATCGTGAGCACATTGCTTCCACTAATGAAGGGCATTTGCGTGCACAATTGCATGTTATATTTTTGTGGGAAATTAATTTTGAAATTAAGTATGTATTTGGAACGGCAGCAAATGTTTAGTTTGAAATACTGAAAGTTAGTAAGTACAAGAGTTGCATTCCCTGCTTTACAGTAAAATGGCTTCTCAACCTTGACCAGGACACTAAACTTCCCTCTGCCTTGGCTTCTGAATGTGTAAAATAAGGGAAAGTCTTTTCACTTTTACAAAGCTGTTCAACACCCATGTTTGAAAAGGGCTCTCTGACAGTAAGTGTACATACTAGTTACTTCGTGGAATGAACCTGAGATTTAGGACTGACAAAGGCATATCACCTAATGCTTCTTGGGCTGTTGTATCTCTCCTGCAAACTTTGGGGAAAACAATTTGTAGCCGTAGAATTGATGGGGTAGGTAAGCAGGGGTAGCCATAGTGCTGGAAGACACCACCAGAAGAGGTGACAAAATTTTTAAAAATCTGACCTCCATTTAAAATAGGCCATTTCAGATTTGAACTGAGAGACATAACATGGTTATCTTACCAGTTACCATGGTTATGATCTTAACAATGAGCTTTTAGAAAAAATCCTCCTCTGCAGTACTCAGCAAATTTAAAGTGTTGTATCCGTTTACTGGCCTTTAGCAATGTAAATGATATTTATGTATTGTAATATATGCAGTGAACTAATGCAAAACTGGTTAGTAGATTGGGGGCTTATTTACAAGAAGAGTGCATACTTGTGTCTGTCTGATGTGTAAATACGCATTACACAGCACACATGAACACATATATAGTTTGGCTGATTGATGATTAACCAAGCATCGTGCCAGGCATTGAAGAGCATAACCGCCAAGGTTAGTGACAAAGTGTTTAGACTCAATATATAATAAGGATGGATTAAAAAAAGGAGTATGCAGGTCAGAAGTAAAATGTACCCAATGAAGATGTTAAAAATAACTCTGCAGAAAACTTCTTAAGGAAGGGTCTGGAAGCTTTATAGATTATAAATGTTAGCTGAAGGGGAAGCACAAGAGGTTGTCCTGTGTCTAGCAATTCTGCACTGGCTTACAGGGTGGAGTACCTGAAACCAGTTGAGCTTCACTGTGATGGTACTAGTAGCATTACAACAGCACATAGGAATTTTGGTCATGAACTAGGTTCTCATTAAGGTGAACACTATAAAAACAGAAGATGAAAAAGTGCTTTTTGCTCCGAAGTGCATTATGATGCAGAGTAAAGGTCATGTTTCCATGTCTATGGTAATTCTTGTATCCTGAGAGTAAAGTATCATTGACAGTTTATTGAGAACATGTTTAAACTGTTGCTCTGCTTCTCTGTAGTTTCCAAGAGTGAAGATAGCTGGGTTGTGGAAAATGTTAGATATACTACAAATCCGTATACTTTTATTTGCCCAGCCAAAGGAGTACATGCTGGGATAGAGTCTGAGTGCAGGAGAAAATCTGGGGGGGATATATAGTTTGGGTATATTCAGGCTTCATTTTGAAGGTCATTAATACTGTACTGAAACTGCATGCTATACTTAATACCTTCTTGCCCTGTGTTGTTATCTACCTTCAATATAAGGAAGTTATTTGAAAATCTGAAAGGGTTTCTCTTTTTGAATCTTCTAAGCTAGCTATTCATTTTAAATGGATAATAAATGATAGCAACTGCTAGAGCAAATTTTCCTAACTTAGCAGTGAGTAAAGCTCTTATAGCTCTCGTGTATATATATATACACACACACACACATATATATAAAATATATGTATGTATGTATGTGTGTATATATATGTATATACACACTAGCTATTTTCAGGATCAGGAGAGAAGCTGAACAGAAAAAGTTCATGCATCAGGGAATCCTTGCCATATTATAAAAGAATGACTTTGTACAGATAGGGTACCAAGAACAATACCTGGGGTATCAGGCAAAGAGCCTTTATCAGCTTCATTTGCAGCTTCCCAAAGTGCCTGACTCCTTGTTTTTTAGCATTCAGAAATAGCAAGCAGGTAGTCAGAGCTAATTACTTGTCCGGATGTCCAGGGATCAACCTACTGTATGTAAAACAAACAGTTTATCAGGGTTGTCATGGGCATGCACAACATTTAGTGTTAGGTTTCTGGTTCAGAAATAGCAGAGAGATGCCCAGCAACTGCCTGATGAGTCTAAAAGGTTTGAGAAGTCAGTGGAGATCTGTCCAGGATAGACATGTAACTAACCAGTTCTGTTGGGCCTTTTGACACTCTCAGCAGAGACAAAGGGAGGATGGTACAGTTGGACTCTCTCTCTCTTAATAAGAGATTTTTTTTTACCAATACTGAAGGATATTTACAGTGAATCATGGGAAAGCCAACACTGCTATTCTTCCTGCTGTGTAATTTCTCTGAGATAAAAAAAAGACTTCAGTCCCCAGGGTTATTGAGTTCCATCATTAAAATACATTAACAAAAGAAAGCTTTGAACCAAGAATCCCCTTTTTGCCCTAGGTTAGCCTTTACATCAGGTCACAGAAGAAGCTGTAGGAAGATCTCATAATCCCTATATTTACAGGTGCTGTTTAAGTAGCAACAAGTTTTCTGCCTTTAGCATCTTTGCATCTGGCTCTCAAAAATGGCGAACTCTGTAAAAAGTAGCCTAGCGGGCAACTGCCTGTACAAAGGGCTGTTGCTCCTGCAGCAACATTTACAGCAGTGTCTTATTTAGGACACATTATTATTTGTTAGAGCCAAAATAGGAAGCTGTTCCCTGAAGAGGCAAACTGACCAGGTAACAGTTGGCCAAAGGCTGCAGGTGCAGAGTTACCCTGCCAAAAAATATTTGCGTTATACGGGAGAGGAAACTGATTAAGAGAGACCTTAACAGACATGAAGTTCACTCAGTCTGCCAGGGGCAACAGGGCTTTCAATTTCTGAGTTCACACAGTCTTAATTCCTTGTTGAGCACAACTGCATGTTGTTGGCAGAGCAAGGAAAAAAAAAAGAATAATTCTTGGAAGCAAACATGCCTCTGTTAGTACGAATTTGCAAAACTATTGACACAGACAAGAAAAACATCTTCCCTCCATGCTAAGATGACATCTTACATTCTCTTGGCTACCTAGCTTTGAATGTTTAATATTCTAGATACCCTTTTGGATTTATATTGTCCAAAAGTGGCAACGGATTTGGAATTCAAGGGCTTTAGTTTGGTGCGGGAGATGAAATTTTTTGAAAGAGGCAACTTTCCTTTGAATACATTTTGTGGCTGCTGTATGACGTGGCTTTCATCTAAAAGAGCCTGTTTCTGATCTTTGAATTTTATATTTCCTGAGGAACAACTTTTCTGATTCAGCCAGAGTGACTAGAACATACTGATTTTTTTTTCCATTTTTCATTTCTTTAACAATGAAATGGTTTCTTGGTGGTTAAAGATACTGTACCGGTATGCTTGAATGGTTTTGCCACCAAAATAAGTTTAGCTGTGGAAGGATTCCATCTTGATATTTTCTCCTAAGACATGATCTTTGATTTGGGCGTATAACCTCTGGAATCAAGAGGTCAATTTTGTCTCCACTCTCCATTTAGTTTTGTCTTCTCCTCTGAGGGTGCCGCTTAGTTCCAGTTGTGACAATGGCTGATCTGACGTGGACACCTGCCTGCCAGGCAGCAGGCTGAGATAACTAATTCATTTCACACCGGCCACCGAGCAGCTGTTACATTACAATGTCTTTCAGTCATTACTGGCAGAGGCAGGATTTGAACCAGTAGGCTAGAAGTATTCTTGTATTCCAGAAACCAGTGAGGGCCAGCAGCTGTGCAAACTTCTCACATGCATATCTCCCAGTGCATCTAACTTCTTGCCTGTGAAATTTGTGCTTTTCCTGCCACGAGACTTCTCCAATACACACAACTTGGATTACAGTTAGGCACGATTCTCAGAAGTAACAGATGATTTGGAAGTCTGACTTTATCTGAAAATCAGATGTCTTTAAAGTATCTCATGTTGGGCATCTTGTGGAGGCAACAGAAACTGCTTGATGTTCCTGGAGAAAACAGTTCCTTTTCTCCATGTTACTGTAACACTTCTGTGCCCAGGGCCCAAAGCTCACCCTTGCGATGGTTCACCCTCTTATTGCAGCCCTTGAACAGCTACTTGGGTCTCTTTGCTTCAGTGCTGACTGATGGCTCCTTTGCTGTTGCAGATCTGTACTACGCTGGAGCAAATTGTGCTTGTGCCAGGTCTAGAGGTTGCTTCCCACTGCACACGATTTACTCTTATGCTCTGAATTCTTTTTCATTTGTTTCATAGTCCAAAGATTTTAATCTGGAGGTAGGAAGAAATATGAGGGGATGAGAAGGTAGCAGAAAGTGAAATATCTGCATTTACCTGTATGAATATTTTATACATGTATCACCCAGACGAAGTAGTTTTCTGACACTTTTCTCAGGCCAGAAAATGGCCTGAAATATGGCCATTATAGCTTGAAACAGCTATGTAGAGATGTAGCATTTTAACGACCTGGGCTTTGTGTTTTCCAGTCATTTAGTCTAGTTAAGGAGGGAGCCATGGGATGGCTCAGAGGCTGAGGAATTAATTTTGAAAACCAGTCTTGCTGTCCCGTCTACTTCAAAAGAGTGTTTGCGGCAGTGTTGAGCAGTCCCCATCACAAAACTGTCACACTCAGTTGGTGTGATTGACCAGGTCTGTTGAGGAAAATTATCCTGGAGCCATAGTGACCCCCTAACGCTTCGAAGGGGTCGGGAGAGGGTGCAGTGGTTGCAGAGCAAGAGACTTGCTCTGGGACCGCCTGCAGCACATCAGCCTCTGTAGCTGAGTCAAAGTACTCATTTCTTTTTTGTTTTCCCTTTTGAACAGCAAAAGAAATGTGACCTGTTTTCTTGTAGCTGTCTCTGTTAATGTGATGTATTGGGGACTATTGTCACAATTCTTGGTGTCTGAAGTTCTTAAAAGCATTATAAAGTATGCAGCTAATGTTTAGCTGAGTGCTGGCTGTGGTGAGATGAGCCAAGTTTTCCCTGCCTGCTTCCACAGGTACTGTGCCTTTCAGTGAAGGAGTTAAAGGAGCAATATAAGGTTAAACATCTGTTTGCTTGTTTTCTGAAGCACATGGCTGTTCACTTCCACAGCATTACTGACACCTGAGATTATTAAAACTGAAAGAGTTATCAATGGTCTGATCTTTTTTGTGCTAATGTGATGCACTACTGCTTAATATCTCTTTATTTAGACAAGAAAAATAAATTAGTTGGTTTCATTTTATAGGTTTTCTCAGCTTCACTTTTAAGTTACAGTACAATCAGAACTGCCGATACGCTGAGGCATGTTTATTTTTGTGGGAAAAGATAGAGCTTCTGAAGAAGCCTGAAAAAACCCAGACTTTTTTTTTTTTTAAAAAAAAACCCTCCATTTTCACAAAGGCTTGGTTTTTGCAAAACCTTCATTATGAGTCAAATTGACCCAACAGTGGCCCTTTAAGAGACATGTTGGCAGTTAATCTGTTCTGGTTTACAGCATGTACATTGCTTTAAGAATGACTGGAATTCTAGGGGGAGGGAGAAGGGAAGCTTTGACCTCCATGTGCACATGTGCTGCTGCCAGCATCCCCTTGCTCGTCTCTGTGATTAAATGGATAAATCAAAGAACACCAGCTTCTTTTCAGTTCTCTCTGCAGTGAGGCTCTCTCTTTATTTACTAGTAGCCAGAATGGCTGAAGTACTTCCAAGTACAGGAGGGAAGGTTTCTACCAGTTATGTTGGTGTGGGAGCTGGTAGCCAGCCCAGTTGTTGGGGTTCTTAATTACACTGCTTTCCCTTTCACCAGATCTGAATGCATCAATAAGTTTGCCTCTGTCTTTGGGACCATGCCTCTGAAAGTGGTGGAGCACCGTGCTGACCCTGTCCTGTACAAAGATGACTTTCCTGAAAAACTGAAGAGCTTTCCTAACATCGGCAGCTTGTAAAGGCAGCAGTGAGACAACCCTGAGTGGTGAAAACGATGGCCCAAAAGGTGCTATGAGGAATATAAGGCCCTGAAGAAAAAAATTGCTAGAGAGTGGTTTACATCTGAGGGAGATCAGAATTAATGTTGTATTCTGCTATGTTGTCTTCCCTTTACAAAGATGAAATGGAAAGCTGAACAACTGCTTCTCTGTTGCTCAGAGAATTGAATCTATTCATGGGTCCTCCCAGAAATGTCAAACACACACTTTTCTCCAAAGGAGGCTATGCACCTGGAAGAATAAAACAAAATCTTGCTGTCTGTGGTCTGACTGGCATGACTGACCTCTTCTATCAAATGTGCTGCAGTTCTCTGGTTTGTAAGCATCCATCCATTCAAAGCAACTGTCTGCAATGTGTAGCTGCTCTCTTTTGGGAAAAGCTTGTTGCCTGTGCAGTTGGTGGGCCTCTGTCTTTTGACTTTAATTGTTGACCTAACTAACCGTGTAACAAACTCTTTTTTTCTCTGCCTAGTGAGACAAATGTTTATTTTTTTACATCATCAGCAACAAAAATTTGTGTGTTGTCACATGGTTTAAAGGGCAAAGCATTTTGTTTTACTTAAATTATTTTGATGTGAATTGAGACACACAGCAGTGGGGAGGATGGTCTCCTTCAAAGCAGAGACCTGCAGGACAGAACTCCAATTGCTGCACTTCTTCCTGCGTAAATCTCAGGTTTTCTGCTGCATCTGTGCAAGAGACTGTGACTCTGTGTCAAAATTAGTTGTACTGTACAAAAAAAAGATGTACCTTTAAGTCTTACTTTATTTTTGCTTTTCATTATCAAAACAAAGCAGTTAGGTTGGTTTTACATTGTAGCCATACATTGGAACAACAGCTATGAAGTAAGGTTTTCACATCTGAATCCTCTTCAACAAGCTATTGTAGTACTGATTTCTAAAACACTTCTTCACAGAAATTCCAGGTTACAGCTTTGATACGCAGAGATATGTGTATGTGCAAGACACTATTAATGCACACTTACAAACTCCTATAAATTGCCATTGTTGGAAAAACTGCTGGGTCTTTGCTTGTGATTTAACTAAGGAACCCATTGCCACAAGCTGCCACTGAAACATACAGCTTAGGAAGGCGTTTGGAGAAGCTTTATGTTTCTCACAAGCACTGGAATTGTTTCCCAATACTGAAATTAACCTGAATGAGAAAATGAAATGTAGAAATAAAATTGTCTGGACTGTTACTTCTTGCCCTTTGATATTAAAGATGATCCCTAGTTAGGCTGAGAAAGGAGTCTCTGTTCCAGCTCCACTGATAAAATCTTTGTTACCAGATTGGGTAATTAACTGATACCACTGTGGGTGATTTGACTGTCCTTTGAAGCCTCCTCTGCTGCCAGTTACAGAGACATCCTACTCGATGGGCTGTTTTTCTGTTACACTACGAGCAACCTTATTCCTCAGATTTTGCCAAACCCCAAACAATAGGACAAGTGTTAGGCATCACGGTTCACCCCCTCTCCTAAGCTGGATAGGCAGCAATGACAGAAACCAAATGAAAGTCAGGCTAGAAACAGGAAACATCTGCTCCTATTTGTCTCACCCCCACTAAGACTTATCTTATTGCCCAATGCAATGGATGTGCTGTGAATGAAAATCATATTGGAACAATAGCTCTGAGGGGATGCTTCACTTCATAACTCCCCTGGGATGTGCCTGTAAACTGTATCGTCCGATTCTCTGGGAACGTTTAATTACTGGTAAATGGTTTTTGCTGCAGTCTTTGTTTCATTGCTAAGTTGCTGGGGGGGGCGGGGCGTATTGGGGAGCTAGAAGGATAGCTGCTGCAGTGGCAACTGCTGTCTGCACAGTGGGTATCACAAGAGAGAGGAAGGTTTGTCTCTCGCTATTTCTCCTTTGCAGCCTCTCAGGTTCATTCACATGAACTTTCTTTCCGAATCTTCCTGTTGATTTATGTCCTGATGCTTGAGCATCAGGAAATACCAGCATATTTCCCTTGAAAAGTTTGCTTTAAAAGGGTAACTGTGACAGTGTAGTAGTCGCTTCAGTTTTGGCTGTTCTTTTGGGGCTGATCTCAGCTTGGCAGGCCTTAGCAGTCCAATTGACTTTGTAACATCTTGCTTGCACGAGTTGTGAAGCTGCTGTGATTTCTTGGTTCTTTCTCAGTAAGCCAGGATTTTTGCACAGAGTCTTAGAAGACATGGAAGATTTTAAATAGTTGGTGGAATATTTTTGGGGGAAGACAAGCCTAACCAGCCCTCCTAAACTGATCTGTTAGTCTCAGGTCAGTAAAAGGCAACAGGTCCTTGTGCCTGCATCCCAAAGTATGTGAGCAGATTCCCCTTCCACAAAATGCCCAGTGACCCATATCAGTCTTGTTTTGTCCTTTGGCATTTTACAGTTGCTTTTATAGAGCCATCTTATTTAGACAGTAATTTGTCTCTGTTTTGTGCCATGCAGAAAATTGGGCAATTGGCTTAAAAAAAAAAAAACGTAAAATGGCCTACTTCCCCTCTACGTTTATAATTGTAATGTTCTTGATGCAAAATCTGTAAAGGTGTAAGATGTACCTGTGTTTCCTGATTTGGAATTTTTTTTGTCAATGTTTAAATTAAGATCGTTGTTAACTTTTCATTGTATATATGTTACCAAAAAAAGGTTACTATTGGTGTATTAAAAAGCAAATCCAAGGAGTATTTGTTGTATTTCACTTCTGGAGCGGCACAAGAATGCATTCAGAAGGGAGAATTGCAGTGATGGGCTGTTTTGCTACATAAATCTGTGTTAAACTTGAATATCCACAATGTACTTTAGAAAGATCTGTCAGTATTTTGTCTTTCCCGTAACTGGAGTTGTCTTTGAAGTAGAAGCTTGCTCTGCACGAATTCATCCCAGTCACCTTTTTGGGGAGAGTAGTTGTTACTCTAATTTTCTGCCAAGATTTGACAGTAGCATTTATCTTGGAGAAATAAGGAACAGATCCTTTCTCTTTTTGCAAAGAGACACAGCAAATGTTGAAGAACTGTGCTTTTGAGAAAAGAGCTTTGGCTGAGTCACTGAGATGGTGGAATCCCAGTGTTGTGGTGGCAGCTCTTTGCTTCCAGAAGCACAGTCCCTGCGGGGCGTGCTGCAGAAGGGCAGCATGTGTCCATGGCACAGCTTGCTTCTTGTGCATGGCAAGGGGTGAGGTGTGCTGCAGTGCTTGCCCTGCCAGTCATGATGAGTCTTAAGGACACATTTTTAGCATCACCAACTTTCCCTTCAAGGTGCTGACTTTCCTTCCTTACAGCTCCATGCTCTCATTACAGGACATGCCAGTTCAAGCCCTAATGTTCTGAATTACTCTATCCTGCCATCTCCAGCTCTTGCTCTTGAACTTCCTGCCACCCATCGTTCTTCTGCTGGTGTGGTTCAAATGTGCTTTACTGCAGCGACTAATTTATCCCTGTCACTTACCAATTCACAGGCCTTTTAAGCTCAAGGGCCTTGGGGATATAGATACCAAAATAATTGTGAGGTGGGATTTAAGAGCTGCTCAGCACTTCTGATTCATTTTGCTTTTAGGTTGTATTGGTAAGCATTGAGCACTCAGGAAAAATGCTGTGCTGAGACATGAAAATGGATTTAGGTGGGCAATTTTAATTTTAAAAATACCTTCAAGATATGGGATGAATGCCCTCCATAATCGGTGTCTGGTACCCTAGGTACTTCTCACAGGTAGAGCACCTTTTAATCAGGAAAGATCTCAATGCTTAATTAGTACTGCATAAATCTTCTTTCTAGCCCTTTCACATCGACACTGTGTCATAACAGGACTGCAGTACAACACAAGAAAGAAAAACTAAAATTTATGGTGCTGATGGGGAAAATGGATTTTAAATGCCTTAGCCAGAGATGAGACAGAGCGAGTATGAATTTTTTCATAACTCTTAAAGACTTGCATGTTTAAATCTTACTAGGACTGCTGCAAAGCATGTTCTGTTGTAAACTAAAATGTAAACTACAGGTAGTTCTTGCAGTCATGGATGGTCTCCTCCATGTACTTAAAGCAAGAAAAAAAAACATTCTGCAAAGTTGTGTTAGATGAAATATATGCTAGAAAGTGAGCTGGCCCAATTGCTGACTTCAGTCTGGTACTGAGGAGTTGGGAAGAGCAGAGCAAATACAAGGCAAGTGTTCCACCTATATTGTCTTTTTAATTTTTAGGCTGAAAGAAATAATTTCTATCAAAAATTGCTAGAAAACTCTGAAGACAGTATTCATTGTATCTTTCTGTAGGATCTGGGGGTTATCCCATAGCAGGTAATCACGTCAAACCTCTTGGTAACATTGATATGTAGAGAGATGGCATTTGCTTAACAGAGAAATCAGCTAGAACACCTTTGCTTTACTGCCGAGTTGTGGATGCTTCAGCTGTATCTCATGCTATTGGGAGTGCATGTAGGACTCTGTAAGTTCTTTCTATGATGTTTGCCACTGCTGTATCTGAGCGCAATAAATTGAGCTTCACAGTCCTCCTGCTTGAGTAAGATCAGCCTCTTGCCTATTACGGCACATAAGCAAACAGAGAGAAGCTGTGATATACCCAAGGCCTTAGCAGTTGTGGGGGTAAAACCAAAACTGAACCTGAGTATCCCAAGCCTGTGTTTTAGCAGAATGGCCACACTTCATCTGAACTGTTGTTTGTTTCAAGTTTTGGGTGGCTCAATACCAAGGTAGATGACCGTGAGCCTTGACTTTCAGTGTCAGTGTGCTTCAGCCTGCCCTGGCTTGAAGCCATTTAGAGACATTCCTGGTGCACTCTGTGTAATTTCAGCCTGATGGAAATGGCTGTAAGGCAGTCCCACCTCTGCTGATCTTCAGGATTCCCCTGTCTGCAGCTTCTTGTGGTTGCTTTGAAAGCGAGTTATGTTTCCCATTAAAGGATAACAGCAACAATTGAGGCAATTAACTGGAGTGGCATGGAGCTAGCAGCACGCAGGGAGTTTTCCGACTGAAAACAGCGCAGCTCGAAGGTTCTCCCTGCAAGGTTGTCTGTTTGCTGTCTTCATTTGTCTGGAAAAGGATCCAGTAATTCTTCTTCAAATTTCCTTTACTCATTCTAAATGCCTGTTTAGTTGCATAAATAGGAAGTGCTCCTGCTCCAGACAAGCATGACAAATCTGCAGTAACTGTGGATGGAGATCAGCTCAACATTGTCGTGGTTTCATTAGGTCTATGAACTTCAACCAGTGCTCAGTACCAGATTGTATGCAGAGGGGAAGACAA